TTTAAAAAGAGTATTTTTTTTTAGATTAATATGGATGTTCGAGCTAGCTTTCACGTACCATGACTAATTTCATAGGCTCTGAAGTTAACAATTATGTAAATCTTCAGTGGCTATCATATAAGCAACTAAGAATGCACCATGACTAATTTCATAGGCCCTGAAGTTAACAATTATGTAAATCTCCAGTGGCTATCATATAAGCAACTAAGAATTCGAATCTTAGATCACAGAGAAAACAAACTTTTTAATTTCAAATCTTTATTACTTGTCTACCATGTAGATAATTATAATACTTTTCTTCTTCGTCATCTTGATTGAGATTTTTTTTTTTTGTCCCCTCAGCTGGCGAAAAGAATAGAGAGGGCAGAGATCGAAGCATCGGGTCCCACAAACGGGGCAGGGCATCCAAGCCATATAATCATGTGTCAGTCCAGTCCAGTCCAGTCCAGCTGAGGTCATATAGTTAATTCATTTGGCCTATAATGAAACTCAAAAGATGTTACATTGTGAAATAAAAAATTTAACTCAGTTACTAAATCATTAGTTAAGATTAAAGGAGATGATTTATATTATTTATATATTTCCACATTGCTTTGTATTATTAATTGAAAAAAAATAAGTATAGTAAAATTTAAATTCATGATAATTTAATCATCAAGATTTTAATATTATATTAAAAATTTAATTAAATTTAATTATAAAAATTATAAAAAATTAAAATATAATTTATATTATTCACACCCTAAACAATATTTAGTGCTGGGTGTCATCTTACGAGAACTCTCATCGTCTCTTCTTTTCTGCAAGTCTTTGCTCCATTATTGCTGGAGCTGGAAATCCAGACCAAAGTTCTTGATATGACATGTCAAGAAGGATTGCCTATTAAATGGCAAGTTTAATACAAGCAGCCTTCCCGTCCACGAGATTTATGTGTAAGGATGTGAATAGATTTATATTATTGTCATTTTCTCTTCTCTCTCACTTCGTGGATGATATCTCTTTAAGTAGCAGACATGCAAAGGAAAGCGCAATGAATCCAAACCAGCAGAGCTAACATTCTGACACTATCTCCAGCTATAAGAGACATTCAAGATATCAAAAATCCATTCCAGTCACTGAACTGCCTTAATTGATGCATAATTTAAAAGAATTACATCATTTAACATGTTTTTTTTTAATAAAAGGGAGTTCAAATTCGAAATGTTTTAAAAAATTATATAAATTCCGATTAGTCCCAGTTTCTGGAACATTCAAAATTCGTGTCAATATATATTGGACTTTAATTCCCTGTTAATCATGTATGTATATTCCCTTACTCTCACCACTAGGAAATGCACAAAACTTCCCAGGTCCTCCCTCGACGTCCCTGGATCTTTTTCAAGCAAGAGGGCATTGGCTAGTAGCATTGGTGATTGGAATCGGGTGATGTACATGTTGTTGATTGTTGGTGACAATATGATGAAGATAAAGAAACAAAAGAAAAAACAGTAAACAAAACCCGAGGTGTGTGTTGACATTGTTGTCAAGAATATTTCCTCAACACAATATTATTCTCTCTATTATTCAATATGTTCTTCCTCCAAAACGAGGGACCTAGAAACAACAAGATAAAAATCATAAGAAGATACCTAGCAAGGTTGAGAAGGAGTGAGAAAATATTTTGGCTTTATTTATTCTTTAATTCAAAGAGTACATGGTATATGGAAGTTGTTATTCTCTAACAATAAAGGAGAAAAATAAATCATATAATTAAAGAGGTGTAGTTATTACAAGAGTTAAGAAAATATAGTTGCTATGGTGAGTGTTAGTAAATTAATTTTAAGTGTTTATATTAAAATTATGATTTTAATTTAACAATTAAAAAATTATTATTATCAACAAAAAATTTAAAAATTATAAATATTATCTTGGCGTATAAAACAGATAATTAAAAATTTGTTTTGTTTGATTCAACCTTATATAAAATATAAAACCGTTGTTATTTTATATTAAATTTTTTTATAAATTTTTATTGTTTTAATGTGTAATTAGAAACTTATTAATATTTCTATTTTATATCCTTAAAGAAAAATTTATGATTTTTAAATATAAAATAAAAAATAATTTTAATATTTTAATTTTAAAAATAAAAATCTTTCGAAGCAATCTCTCAAATTTTATTATTTACGTCACATGTCGCTCGTGCTATGTCGACGTGCAAAGGGCACTGGGCAGACAGGACCGGCCCTTATAATTGCACTTGCAGGGCGTAATACTTCCTAGGAGATGCCAAAATGTGTGCAGAAAGCAGAGTCTGACCTGATCAGACATGTAACATGTGGCGAAGGAATGAATAATACTCAGACAGGCTGACAAGGGCCTCTCTTTGCCCCTCTGCATTTCATTGCCTCAGGATCTCAAAACTAACCTGTTTGCAGGAAAATTAAGAGAAAATGAACGGTGATGGTAGAGAATAAAGAGAGGATCTTTTAGTAAAATGTAGAATAAAACAAGGACTTTGAAAAGGTATATTTCATGCTTGGGTTATTAGGAAGTTGGTTCATAGTTGGATGTCAAAAGTTGGTTCATAATTGTTTTTTAAGGTATTTTTATTTAAAAATATATAAAATAATATTTTTTATTTTTAATATTATCATATGAAAATAATTTAAAAATATTAAAAATATTAATTTGTAATAAATAAAAATAATTCTCATTAAAAATATGATAAACTATACCTTGAAACAAGCACTTGAACCCACAACAACCTCATACCACTAAGAGGAAGTTTATTTTTGCAGCATGTTTGTGTTTTTAATTTTTTTTTTAAATTAAATATTTTTATGTTATAAGATCATTTTATTATATTAATATTAAATATATTTTTTAAAAATAAATTATTTTAATTTATTTTTAAATAAAAAATATTTTAAAAAACAACCAAAACAAACTCTCTCTGTCCAAGACCGAATGCGTAACCTTTTTACTGTTATCCTTTTTTTACCTCAGAAGAATATTACGTGTTCGGAGGGAAAAAAAATTAAGGGCAGTGGGGGCAAGTGCTCGTTTGAGGCTATAGTTCATCATGCAATAGATTTTTTCTATGTTGAAGATCATCATATACATGGACATAAATCGTGATAGTAAAAATATTATTTTTACTATCTTCAAGGGACACATCACGTTTCTGCCATCGCGAAAAAACAAACTTATTTGGATCTCATGGGATTAGATTAGGCTGTCATATCCATTTACCAAGACAAAGTTTAGTTTACTGTACGTTAAAGCAATAAAAAAAATTATTTTGATCCTGTTTTTTTTTAAAATTAAATAACATGGTCTTAAGGGTATAAAAGTATGTCCAATAAAATTTATTTGCTATTATCATATTAATTTGGGTCAAAAAAAGCTCTTTTACATTTTAAATTAACAAAGTAATAACTCATATATTCCTGAAAGTAAATAAAATAGAGATAGGTATAAGGGCTACTTGGTATTTTGAAGCTTCAAATGCACAATAAACTGACCATGGTGCCCTTACATTTATAAAAAAAATAAAACTTACAGACAGGGTCAATTGAATTTTTTCCATACAATTCTTTTTGTTATTGTCTATATAATTACACCTTTGAAAAAATATGAAAATAATTAAAAAGTTATTGAGACTTATATTACAATAGTTAGCAATTAGAAGGTATTCAAGCTATGTAGATGGCGCGTGTAATATCTTTTGGTACTCAAATATTATAATCCATGAAATTGTTGGAGTGGCGATATGATGTTTGTTAATAATAAATATATAATTAATCTTCGGTAAATATTTTTTTCCCTCTCCAACCTAGATTTTCAAGCCCACCTTTCCAAAAGGTAAATATGTTGATTTTGATTTTGATTTTTTTAATTATTATTTATTTTATTTTTTCAAGTTTTTCTAATCTTATCCCTAAACATTTTATTTTATTTTTTAATTCAATTTGTTAATCATTCTTTTAATTGATTTTTTTTAATTTTTTTCTTAATTTGTTCTATGTTTCAATTATATTCCTGAATATTTTATGTCATTTAATTTTTTATTTAATTTTGATCATCATTTTTTTTCCTAACTATTTTTTTAATTTATTTTGTTGTGATATAACTTTAATCCTTTTCCTAATTTTTGTTAATTGAATTTTTATTTTGATCTCATGACATATATAGTATGTCAGCCAAATGAATCTAGGTTGACCTAAATTTTTTTTCAGATATTTTTTTTAAAATTATTTTTTTTTTAATTTTATTATTTGACATTAAGTTATTAAGTTTTGTGATTGTTTATATAAAGTTATTTTGATTTTATATTTTAGATTATTAGTTAAATTAACTTGAATTAACTTAAATTATTATTACATTAATATCTTTTTTAAATTAAAAAAAAGTTTAACCAGATGAACGGAGTACCCTGTCAAGTATATATATATATATAATGCAAAACATAACATTACCTCCGAAAAAAGAAGCTGGGGGTCACAATCATACCTAGCAATTCCAAATATTGAAGGATACAACGCTTCCCGAAGTCAATTATTTTTCCAATCGACCCTACCTCGCGTGCCCCGTAGTTTTGTTAGCCTCTCAAGTATCACCCCTTCGTGTCTCCAACCATTAGACAGTAACTTCACAACTACATCTTCGATATATTACCTGCTTGGATAAAAAAAAAAAAAAACTGAAATGATCTAATTAGGTAAAAAAAATTGAATTCTGGTGTGGCAAACTGTTCTTGCGACAAGAGGGAATTAATACTATCAGATTGTGAGGTCCAATATTATAAGTTGATCTTAAATAAACTACTTCAGTTTCACTGTTAACGAATCCAGCTACCAGGTCAATCCCTGGCATAATTTCCCAATAAAAAATCTATGATAATGAGATGGCTGCCACAGTTGTTTTTTTATTTATTTAATCGTAATTTGTAGTTACCTAAACGTTCAAATATACAGGCTTGTATTGTGAGAGTACCATTATGTATGTGTTGTACTCCACAGAGAAGTTTCTACTGTATAGAAGATGAAGGTCTTACTCGCTCACTCACTCTCATTTGGGCTAAAGGCAATTCTTAAAGTAAAAGTGTTAATGCCTCATTGGAAACCATCCTAGAGAGGCATTCTTTTGTAGCCTTTCGGTGCTTAAATTCTTCTGCCTTCTCTCTCTTTATTCTTCCATGGGATGATCAATTGTTTTACTGCTGCTTCAATTTTGCTCGGCACATATGTAATTGATCAATCATCTGCTGTTGAAAAGCGATGCTCTCAGTTTTGACAAAAGCAAAAGCTAAAGCTGCTATTTCTGACTTTGAATCCCCATAATTCCTTCCCTCTTTCTCTTCTTTGCTTTATCTTGACTCCAAATCAATCACATTTATTGCTTCTTGGTATTTTTTTGAAACTTTTGCCCGCTTTGAAGCAATGGGAAACTAGACTCGCAAAACCCCTTGCTACCTCAGAAAGAAGAAGTGAATTGATCCTAATATGGCTATAGATGTCTGCTCAGAGATTTCAAGCGCAGGAATTAGTCCAAGAATCTCCTTCTCCCATGATCTCAACCAAACAACAGATGCTGTTTCCATCGAAGATCATCACCATCGCAGACTAGACTCGTCTCTGTTGGATTCTGATTTCGATTTCTGCATTGGCAACAGTTTCGTTCAAGAATTGTCCTCTGCTGATGAGCTCTTCTCTAATGGCAAGATCCTGCCTGTTGAGATAAAGAAACATTCCATTTCCTCTAAAGGTAATAATCATCAGCCGAAGTCTTTGACCTCTCAACCTCAGCATCAGACCAGTACCGGGACTACAGAGAAGAAGCAACTGAAAGAATTCTTGTCAATGAGTCTTGATGCAGATGAAAAGCCCGCATCGAAATCTTTTTGGCAGTTCAAGAGAAGCACTAGTCTGAATTGCGATAGCACTAGAAGCAAAGGCCTCATTCGATCGCTACACTTTCTTTCCAGAAGTAACTCTACTGGGTCAGCACCAAATCCTCCAAAACAAGCAATGTTATCCAAGGAGACTCAAAAACCTAAATTGCAGAAACAAGCTTCTGTTCCAAGTCGAAAACCATCGGTGCCTAGTTCTGCTGCGTTTTATTCTTACAATCCACAGCAGAAGCCTCCTCTATTAAGGAAGTGTGGTTCTCATGGGAATGGATTCAGAATCAGTCCTGTCTTGAATATACCACCACCTTACATTTCCAGAGGAGCTGTCAATCCTTTTGGTCTTGGCTCACTGTTTTGTAACGGTAAGGTTAGAAGGAAGAAGGGATAATTATTTGTGTGTTTTGTTCTGTTGATGACTGAATCTTTTCAAGTACAGGTGTCTTTAGCTGTCTATCATTTCGGTTCATGGATTAGCATGTGATTAGTCTGTAAATTGGAAGAAAAACTAGTAAAGAAATGATTAGATCTTAAGAAGAAATACAACTACTACATGGGTTAATTACTTTTGGAAAGTGAAAACAACAGTATTATGGAGGAGGAGGAGTTGTGATATTGGAAATGGATGATGGTGACTGTTGTTGACGCCTAGCTATCAACATGGCGGTCATTTTGGGAGACACACTAACAAGGTGTTTCATTGCTGTCCATGTCCATGATTTTCTTTCTTTTCATCCTTTGATTTTTGTTCTTTCTCTCTTGGTTTTCAATAGTGGCTCTCTTTTGATCTTTTGAATTTGATCTGAGGCCTCCTTAGGTCATTTCATATGTGCGTAAAAAATACAGGAGATGCTTCAGTTTGACCATACTATTTCTGGGTCCATTCGTTCTGCTCCTTTTGTTCTCTCTCTATATGTATTGATTCAAGACAAAACAGCTGCTACAAGGAAGTGGTTTCAGGAATTAAAAATTAATGATTAATTGTTTCTCTTGTTAGTTTCGGCCTAGCTTTCTTAACTACCCTTAACACTGTCCCCCTCTTGGATCGGATCTGCTGTACCTTAATATATTTTGTTAAATATTTTTCTATTTACCAGCTAAGAGCTAAGAAAATTATTAAAGCCATTAAGTGCGAGTTATTTGGAAATATGTTTCAAATAGTATTTTAAAAAAATTATTTATAATTAATTTTTATATTTTTATATGGTTTTAATGCGTGAATATCAAAATAATTTTTAAAAAATATAAAAAAAATATTTTGATAATTTTTTTAAAAAATATACTTTAAAAAATAAGCACCGTCATTCTTTCAATCACCCCCATAATTTTAATGAAATCTAAAACTACCATTATCTAAAAATGTCAAAAGGATTTGGCAAGTATTTTTAAAATTAACCCATATAGATGTCATTTCATTGGTGAACATTTCAGCTTTCATTTGTAAATCCTCCTCCTCCTCTCGTGCTTGTACTTTCTCCTCTTTTAATACAGAAATTCTTTAAGTTTTTGCCCTTCCACGGACATGGCTTCCACTATCGTTTTCAGAGAATTTGAAGATGAAAATCTAGTTGTCAATGTGGTGGATACTGCTCAATCCAGCAAATGTTATCTAGCTTTAGCGCGGGCGCACCCGGCCTGGAAGATCAACTGAGCTCTCGAAAATACTTGGAGATCCAACGCTACGTACCGACATTCTATTTTTTTTTTTTTTCCAATCTTTAATTGCCTTTCCTTTTAGCACCTCTTAAATTGCTTAACATTAGTTCTATTGTGGTATCCCCTTATAATGTTAGTAATGTTAGTCTGTGGCTTGAGTAAGAGTTAATCTGAAAGAAATTTCCAAAGTATTTAAAAATATGGTAGCAGTTTTTTTAAAAATATTTTTTATTTTTTATATAAACACATCAAAACAATCTAAAAATACTAAAAAAATAATTTAAAGTAAATAAAAATAATCAATTTAAAAAAAAATATTTTGAAAACACAAAAAAAATATTAGTATCCTACAAGAAACTAAATTAAAACATGTCCCTGTATCATAACAACCCATAAATAAAAATCTTTGCATATAGTTTTTTCAATGGCAATAAACAGAATTTTGGACACAAAATAGACGGGATCATGAGAGGAGAGGACAACCCATGGGCCTCAGAGGTTCAATCAAGAGCAATGTTTAGAGCAAGGGCCCATTACAGAGCCTAACCTAGATAGAAAGGCCCAGTTCCCATAGAAGCTAACCATCTTTGATTTAGATTTTTCAAACGAAGAAATCGTCTCAGTATTTCCTTTTCTCATTTTTGGTCCGACCTCTCTGCTCCCTGGTAACTCTCTGGTCTGGTAGAGATGCATAGTCTTCCTTCCTGAAACGGAAAGCACGTAGAAAACATCACTCCAGGCTTAAACAAGGGTTCGCGAAGTGGATACGGTGATTTCATGATATGATTTATAACCTCCCGAGGATTAGGTCAAATTGTGCGAGCTCGGCTTAAGTCAGAAGTCTTCCATGCAGTGAATACGAGGAAACCATGACCATTCCAATCGCTGACCCCAGCTTCTTTTGAAGAGGAAATGCATGTTCTGAACTCAAGCTCTCTCTCTCTCTCACGCGCATAGGAATTTTGACCCACTGCGACGTCCAAGCAAGCATCCGGGAATTCAGTGTGCGTACTTTCCTCTGATTATTGGCGAGGGAATGAATTATGCTCATCGATTATATCTAGGTTTCTTCTCAATCAGTTCCCCGCAGGTTGTTACCTCCCTGGCCGGTTGCTTTTGTTATCCTCCCTTGTACAAAACAAAAAATAAGTTTTGTGGCCGTATTGTCAATATGCTAGCTTTCGGTTTAAGTATGTATTTGATATTACGATAGATTTTAGAGTAGTAATTTTGAAAAAAAAATAAAAAACTATAAATTATGGTTTTTTTAAAATTAATATATTAAGATAAAGTTTTTAAAAGATCCATGTAAAAATGTTATTTGTTAATTAGTTACGCACTTTTAAAATTAAATTTGAGATAAAACAGTTTCAATTATACGGCGTCACATTTACAAATGGAGGTAGATCTAATTTCAGGTCAGACAATAGACGATTATAGAAGTTGACCCTTGCCCTTCGTCAAAATGGCAACGCAAGGCAAAAACAAAATCCTCACGAGGTCCAGCTTCCTCCTCTTCCTCGAAAATGGGTTCCTGTTTTGCCTTTGTAATTAATTTTATTATTGGGCATTTTGACTAGTTAATTTTATCCGCGTGTAGACTTCATGGTGATGATTGGACGATATCAACTGACGTAGGCAAGTGTCCTAAGTCCCCCTCGGAATGATAAAACCCATAAATATATTAACATCATAATTCATAACGGAACAATGAGTCCTGTCATCTCATGGAGAAAATAATAATAACAATTCCTACAAAGTCATCTCCCGTGATTCTTAAATGGCTTAATGCCTTCTATTTTCTTTATCCTTGAACTGGTTTGTGTATCCCTGCTATGCTCTTGGGACCGGGATTTTTAAAATATAAAAAAATATCCAAGTTTAAGAGAATTCTTTACATTGTTATTAAATTAAAAAACTACCGTGGTTTGGAGAAAAAAAATCATCAAGATAATTTTATATCTCTTATTTATCTTAACGGTTTTTAATCTAAAATAATACTTTAAAAAAATATATTTAATAATTATTACAACAAGTTAAAAGGATATCAAAATAATATATTTATATTTTATATCATTAAACGCTGAAAAAATCATAAATATGATAAAAATCATGTTAAAGATATATTTAAAAATCTTAGAGATAAAAAAAAAAACAATTTGAATCAAGTTTTCATAGATAATTTATTGCTAATATTATTATTTTCCTATCATGTATATAATAATATAGAACATCCAGATAAAAATTTATAATAGCATTTAAGAATCATGTTAGAACTAAAAAGTAATTAAATATGATAATTTTTTTATGAAATGCCCAAAAAAAAACAAAGAAAAAGAAAATAATAAAAAAAGGATCATACCTAGCATTTGGACCACTAATAACAAGCTAGTACAACTAACCTTGTTCTATTTTTTATTATTAAGAGGACACGTGATATGTTGTTTACCTTTTATTTTAAAAAAAAAAACAAAAGCAACATATCATTTAATTTGTTGTGTTGGAGAAAATATTATTTTTATTAGCTCTTAAACTCGCAATCTTTAGACTTAGATAGGTGCGGTAACCACTAAGTTATGACACAAAGTTATTATCATGAAGATCAAATAAGTGTTTTGTTTTACTTCGTTGTTTATATGATATTAAAATAAATATAATAAAATAATCTAACTTCTTGTTATTCAGAAACTTAATATGAAATGAGTTGTTAAATTAACTTGAGGAAAGAGGAGAGGATAAAAAAATAAAAAAAGAGATAGTAGTGGCATATTGAAGCTCTGACTATAACACCACCATAATTATTAAAAAGATCTTAATAAAAATAAATTTAATGACAACAATTAAGGTTACAAATGATGACTTCATGGTGCCCACATGTCTTCTAAAGATGACAGGTGATTTGCTTGTTTTTGGCGGTAAGTGTGACCTACTATATTTATAATTGATGATTTTTTTAGCATTGTTAGATTTATCTCATCAAAATATTTTTTTTTATAGAATTGGTGATGTTATAATTGGAGTTTTGATGTGCTTTTATAATCTTTCTCCCCTCTCTCTTTTTTTTTTATCTCTTTTCTCAAATGACAATGAGAAGAGAGGATATAGAATGAAAAAAAAAAAGGCTATAAAGATACATCAAAACTCCAATTACGACATTATTGGCAGCATAAAAAAAGATTTTAACGAGACAAATCAAACATCTATAAAAAAAATCATCAATAGTAGCTAAAGTGGATCACATTTGTTATCAAATGAAAGTGAGCAAGCTATCGTTTTTTTATGACAAATGTAACACGCTCAAATTATAATATCATCAAATCTCCCAACATTTCTTTACCAATGTCAAGTATTGGGTAATGTGTCTAAAATTATGGGATTTAAAAAAAAAATTCGGCGGAATTTCTTTTTTTTTTGTTGGTACCAAGTTATCGACAACACTTCTATTATATGTCATTATGACTTCTATCTTGATTCAATCATCCTGGATCACATTCCATTCATCAAACAATAACTCAATGTTTATACTTATCAATATATACAAGTCTTATAATATCAATCAGTAAATCAACATAAATGTACCACCAAAACAACTCAAAAGATATACAAATTCATCACTAAACATAATAAATGCTAACTAACTACATATAAACCTTTAAACTACATAAATACAACATTAAAATTAAGAGTCATATTATATTTATAATAAATCTTATCATTTTGAAAATGATTTGATCATACTAACAATACACACACACACACACACACACACACACCGGGCTCCATTCATTTTAAAATTTTAACCAGATTTTATTTAATATATTTTAAGGTTTTTCATAAAATTTTAGCTCAATTTGATGGTCGGATTGAAAATTACGTCCAATAATGTAAAACTAGTCGAATTGTGATTTTTCGTTAAATTTTTGAATTCCTCTAAAAATTCTGAAATTTTAACCCAAGTTAAGGCATTATATTAAAAGGCTCCATGCAAAATTTTAGAATTTTATGATAACCCAATCAACAGTTATAATTTTTTTTTTTACATAAAACTAGTCAATTTATGATTTTTCATCCGGAGGTTTTATAATAAATGTGGCTCATATAGGTCACCATTGATGATTTTTTTTAATGTTATTGTATTTATTTTATCAAATTTTTTTTGTTGATATTGATTATGTCGTAATCAGAGTTTCAACATGTTTAATATCTTTTTCTATATTTCTTTATTCA